CCCCTACCCCACCCTACCTACCCTACCACTACCCGACCCCACCCTACACTACCGCGGCCCTACCCCCGACCCCATATGCCCATACCACATCAACCCCACCCTGACCCCACCTTACCCCACCTTACCCCAACCCCGCCCCTACCCCTACCCTACCCTACCTTACCCGACCCCACCCTACCCCTACTCTACTCTACCTAGCGCCTCTATCACATCGGCCCCACCCCGACCCCACCACCCTAGGTATAGGGGTGGGGTAAGGGATGGGGTCGGGGTATAGGGTGGGGTGGGGTAGGTGGGGTAAGGGTACGGGTAGTGGTAGGGTGGGTCGAGTAGGTAGGGTAGGGGTGGGGTTGGGTAGGTAGGGTAGTGGTAGGGTGGGGTTGGGTAGGTAGGGTAGTGGTAGGGTGGGGTTGGGTAGGTAGGGTAGTGGTAGGGTGGGGGTTAAGGCGGGGTAAGGGTAGGGTCAGGGTAGGGTAGGGGTAGGGTGGGGTCGGGTAGGTGTGTGGTCGGGTAGGTAGGGTCGGGTAGGTAGGGCAGTGGTATGGTGGGGTCGGGTAGGGGTAGGATGTGGTAGGGTTGGGTTGGGTCAGGGTAGGGTAGGGGTGGGGTCGGGTAGGGTGGGTTGGGTCAGGGTAGGGTAGGGGTAAGGTGGGGTTGGGTAGGTGGGGTACGTGTAGGGTGGGGTCGGATAGGTAGGGTAGGGGTGGGGTAGGTGGTAGGGTGGGGTCTGGGTGTGGGTAGGGTAGGGATAGGTAGTTGGGGTAAGGGTAGGGTGGGGTTGGGGTCGAGGTGGGGCCGGGTAGGTAGGTGGGGCATGGGTAACAATAGGGTAAGGGCAAGGGGTAAATTCGGAAACTGAAAAAGCTTAAAGTGCCGCTTAATTAATACATGGGGGGTGGTATGCTTAATAAGCGGCACTTTAAACACCTCTTTCGGTTAGTAAGCGGCTTTTTAAGCAGCGTGCGTGTTTACTTCACCTGTCTTACTAACCTAACTGTGACTTTAGCAGTGAAGTAAACATCTCCTAAATGAGTTTAAATAGTCGTACACACAGTAAAACGCTCCCTGAATTTGGAATCTCATTTGTTTGTAGAATTACCTTTCAGACTTTCAGTCATCTTATTTAGCTATTGGCAGAACGCACGAACCAAAGTGGCTTGCTAGTTGCTACTTGCTAGTTGCCAGGGACCCATGCATAAGATAAGATGAGAGGAATCCATCATGTACAATGTACATGAAAAGGATATTGCGAAAACAAATTGGCATTGGCCCCATAAATATTTTGTTTTCTAGTAATTCGTCCACCTAACCTCAAAACATAAGCCTGAGTAAACACGTTTTGTAATTGCAAAAGAGAAGGGTTATGTTTTGTTCTTTTCAAAATAAGAGTAGTATGAATGTATTTACTTTCATCTTGGAATAATTACTGTCAAAATAGTTGCACTATTAGATATAAAAAGGATAGTATTTATTACCATTTCAATAACTATTGACCTTTATTTAGGACAATTTAAGACTTACGTAACAAGTCGTTTAGTCAATTTAGGAGTGTTTGAAATTCATTTGACTTCTCCTTTTTTAAAACAATAGAATCAGAATCTATTTTATAGAAACTGGTTTCCCACCGCTTCTCAAAAGACACTTCTAAGAGTAATTTGAAGCATTTAAAAGCATTTGTGCACTTCCACTCACACATTCCAATATCGGCCTGTCTTTTCAAAGATAAAAAAGAATTTTAAGAAACAAATCCAGATAGCCTCTTATTTCATATCAAAATAATTGTTCTTCTAAAAATTAATCGTATAGAAAAAAACATAACAAGTAATTGTACTTTGAAATATACGAAGTAATTAAATTTCATGATGAACATTTGTATTGTTAGAATATCTAATTGCAACTATCCCTAATATTTATGCACTTTCTTGAAATATTGAATATTAGTGAATTAGTGATGGCTTTAATATTCCAAGTAGAGACAAAGAGAAGAAGAAAAATTAATAATGGTAATTGGTAACCATATTATTCTTAATGAGAACCGAAAACTAAAACATAGCTCTTGCGACCTAGATGAGGTATTTCTAGTAGAGATGTCAATTTCGGTCGACCCGTTAGATACCCGCACTGAACCGATTTGGTCAAAATGGGGAAAACCGGTTTGACTGGGAAATGGTACGGGGCGGGGAATACCCGATTTTTTTAAATGGATAATGGTGCAGTTATGATTCTATACTAATCCTCCCCGTTATCCGCCCCGAAACTGCCCCGTACACTAACTCAATCTTTATATATAAGAATAATAATAAGTATATGTGCTAAACTGTGTACACTAAATCGTATATATCATATAAGTATATAAGAATAATACACCAGAGGCACATAACTTTTTTTGCGAAGGATTACTACTTTTCAAAGTGTTGAACGTTAATTTGATGGTGTAACAAATTTAGGCCTAAAATTGATTTTGCGAAGGATTACGACTTTTTTACGCCTAAAACTAAATTTAGGCCTAAACCTTTTTTTTAATTTAAATTCTGGGATGATTACTACTTTTTTATTATGTTACAAGAGATATTTGGTGCTTCTCATACTAATGAGTTGAGGACTAAAATTGCTTGATTGCTTGAATATTTACTTTTGTATGTTTTATGGTCCTTTGATTATAAAATTTACTACGAAGGATGTTTACATTAACAAGTAGGATTATAAATTGGTAATTTTGGAATCATTTCGGAAAACGGTTACCCGTGGATAAACCGATTCCCCGTTAGGACGGGTACAGTTCAAATAAAAATTACCCGAACGGGGAATGGGGCGGTTTCGAGGCAAACATTTTATCCAATGGGACGATTTCGGTTTTATGTATACCCGTCCCAGATCCGCCTCTTGTCATCCCTAATTTCTAGAACAAGTGCGTGTGCATATGTGTTGCCATCCAAGACGATAATCTTTTCCACACCCTAATATCCTATGGAGACACATGGATCATCAATCAACGGGGGTGCACTTGGGATGGACCAGGTCGGGCCACTCCAGGACCGGGCCCAAACAGTACCAGTTCTAGAAAATTGGGGCCGATATGCTTTCGTACCGATTCGAATCAGAGCCCAAACAGTACCAGGCCCGGGTCAATACCCACCCATTTAATGAAAAAAATAAAAAATATTCGTTGGGCCCGAACCGGGCCCAAAAAACAAGCCCCGAGGCCGGGTACCAGTACCGAAAAATCAGGTCGGGCCAAAACAGTAAAGGGTTAGGTCGGTCGCGGGTCGGGCCGCCCGGGCCCAGTCCATCCCTAGGTGCACTAGACACATAGAATGAGCAATCTTCGAGTAGTTTCAGTTTATCTATAAATATTTAAGAACCGACAATTCCTCTAAAATCTAAATGACCAAGTTTCGGTATATCAGGTATTATTAACTCAAGGGATATTTCCCTAACTAAGAGTAAAACATTAGAAAAGTGCAAAAGTAGGACCTAGGACTTTCGTAGGAGCTAAAACATAAAATCTGACAGATTTATGTTTTCTTTTATTTGTTTTCTTTTATTTAAAGCAATATAATATGGAATACCGTAATACGGAGTAACAGATACAAATGAAGCGGTACAAGACCGGACAACCCAGGGCACATGGTGCTCCATCTCTGCCGCCAGTCACCTATCTCATCCGTATCCATAGTCCCTGTCGCCGGCAGCTCTTCCACCACCGGCCGTCACCCCTGTCACCGTCAATGGCGGCTCTTCAATTCCACAGTCTTCCGCCACCTCTACAGCTACCATCGTCGCCGGCGGCTGTACAACCACCAACCACCGCCGGCTCTTCCACCAGCCGCCGCCTCTGCAATCACCATCGTCGCCTCTTCTTTGGCATCATCTCATCTGCCATGGCCACCGCGAACTGGATCTACACCGCAACCATCACATCCCATGGCACTCTTTCTCACCTCTCGTGTTGTTGTCATCCTCACAATAATATTGACATGTTCTGACACTTCAAGATCTACAACATGGCACTTTGGGATTTAAAAATTATGGCATTTTGGGTAAAAAAAAAATTATGGCATTCATAATACAAAAACATGGCATTGAAAATAATATTAAAATATTGATAAAATAATTTCCAAAAAAATGGCACTGTTTGCCCAAGGTGTAAACAAAATGGCATTATATAATTGCATAAATGCCATTACCTCCAAAGCAATAATGTTCAAATAAAAATAAAATTATATCGTTTTGTGACTTTAGAAATGGCACTATATAATTCCATAAATGGTATTTTTAAAAATAAATAAATAAATCAATTCTAAAAAAAATCAGAAATGGCACTATTATGTTTTAAAAATAAATAAATCCAAATGGCACTCCCATCTTTCGAACTTCCATTTTTTAGATTTAAAAATGCCCAGAATTTTTTAAAATATGAATTAGTATGAATAAAGAACAAAATAAAAAACAGATCTAAAATTTTTAGTCTAAATCGTTGGAGTCTCTCATTTTGAGATCCAAAATTTGCAGATCTAGAATATCATTTTTCAGTTTGAATCTCAAATGGAAACAAGCAAATTAATGGAGTAACAAAAAATTCAAGAGAAGAAGAACAACACGGGAGAAGGCAGACGAGGGGGGGAGAAGGAGGAGAGAAGGGGGGAGAAGAAGAAGAAGAAGAAGAAGAAGAAGAAGAAGAAGAAAGAAGAGAGAAGGAGTAGAGGAGAGGAAGAAGATTACCGGAGATGAACGATCGATCTCGTCAAAGAAGAAAGTATCATCTTCGCCGGAATAGCGGTGCAGCAAGGTCATCTCTTCGCCTCTTCGATGATGCGCAAGAGAGAGGAACGGACGAGCCTCACGAGCTAGTTGCTGGGCCTTTCAAATTAATTAGGGACTGGATAGTTTTATGATAAGAAGGGTAAATAAGTAATGTGAACTCTTATTTTGGGAATAAAAATGAGTAACTCTTATTATGGAACTTTTAGTATGTTTTACTCTTATCTAAGGCAAATTCTCAACTCAATAGTTAAAACCCAATAAATGTGCAAATCCATACTCCATATACTAAGAATATGAATATAAGAGACCTTCATATAGCATTATAGCTACGACAAGAGTCTTCAGCATAAAAAGAAAAAATTGTTGTACAACACAACAGAATTGAGGAAGCGGTCCAGCTCATCTGGTCAAGGACTCACTCTTCCTTACTGGAGGTCTCAGGTTCGAAACTCAATGGAGTGAGTTTCAGCACTGATTACTCCAGGCTCCCCCAGCCCCCCTCCCCTAGACGCCTCCTGGAGTAAAAGAAAAAAAAAAGGAAATACATACCAAAACTAGAGCTAGGAAATAAGCATTAATAAAATTTATGATCTGAGTTCCCAAGTGAGACTTTTTTATTGGACTTTTCATCGATTTCCAATCTCAGTTTCCAAGTGAAGCACTTTATTGGACTTCTCAGCTTGCGCGATCAGTTCTTTTTTGCAGCCGACTGGCATTGCCGCTTGCTGGTACGTCCAGCCCAGAAAAGCGTCCATACGGCCCCACATGGCTCCCCATGCAAATAATGCGTTGTAACTCATAATATCACACGGCAGTAGAAGCAAATTATTAGAAGCATGCCAATGGTCTTTCACAATTCAGACCGACCAAGGGAAGACCAGATGATTGAGCTTCATAACTCACAATTCAGCCCTCACTTGCAAGAAATAAGGGTGGGACTACAGAGTTGAAAAATATGTGTGTTAATTAACAACGATACAAATCCATGTTCTAAGATGTTATTTAAGATGAAATTCAAAAATTATGGGAAATTAGCAGAGTTCACAAGGCATAAGCGGGTAGGATACTAGGACTACCATAGCTTCTCTCGCAGTCAGCCTATCTTGATGGTCATAACGAAGAAGCTTGTCAAGTAAATCAATGCCCTGTATGTTAACCTCAACATCAATGAAATAAAGTTCCATGTAAAAAGCTTTAATAATAACAGAGAAAACAAATAGGGAGTATATTCTTGAATCACAAGTCAAAGAACATATATACCACTGAACTTTTTTAGAGCAATGAAACACAAAAATTTGTTGTTGGAACAAATACGTGCTTGAACTATATAACAGAGAACAGTTATTCCTCAACTATTCGACATAGGGGTGTGGTTGTTCGAACTTTACATTTTTTTGAGTTAAATTGTTGCCAAAGAAATTTGAGGGGTATATTTGGTGTCTGGCATATAGTTCAGATGCGCATTTGTTCTTCCCCGAATAATAATAACTTAAATTTTAGGTCAAAACGTTACCTGAGGTGATACTAAATGTTTATTATCGACGTTCATAAATTTAGACCACGGTTTTTGGCTGTCCCTGAACAGGTCATATAACTCCCCATAAACTTTTTTAGAAAATAAAAATATGAAGTACACAACTTCTGACCAACTTTTAGCATTTAAGTCACTTCGATGTAACATATGATGTTAAAAACAAGAAAATACCATACCTCCCAACCTTGGTCATAAGATGAGGATCAAGCTCTATATTATACTTTTGCAAGTATGCATTCAATCCGTCTGCACCAAGGACCTTAAAATGAAGCATTCAGTCCATCAGATATCAAAGTAGTATCAGCTAACAAATTAAGGTCTCATTTGGTAGTGCCCATAATCTACTTCCTCTGATGGTCATAAAAAGGAATAATAAGTAGCTTTTTGTTTAACAGTATGGTTAAACTGGATGTTACCCAATATCAGCCAAATAACTCTTACAAAAGAGGATATAAGTCCTCTAATTTGGATGGAGTGTTGAGAGATGATAGTAAGGGAAGTGTTACTAACGCATCTAAACACTCCATCCAAAGGTTAATATCGCACCCTTTTATTTAACCAACTTTATAAAACATGATTATGGTTTTCAACGAAAATACCTTGGCAATTTTGACAAGCTGGTCTTCATTATTATGTCCACCAAAGAAAGGTTCTTTGTGGAAGATCTGCATAAAGAGTAAAGATAATCAGGTAGAACTAGAAGTAATATTTTTTCCTTTTCTTCTTCAAAAAAGAATCTTTTGGGAATAAAGGCTTGGATGTTGTTCTTTAGAAAAGAAGCAAATCATAAATTATTTACTCCACTTCTTTACCATTCCTGCAAACATGCAGCCTAGGCTCCACATATCCAAAGAATAGTCATAGTCTTGCAAGTTAACCAGAAGTTCAGGACCCTTAAAATACCTGTACAATCATAGTACAATGATGGCTTCAGTAGGCAAACCAGCTTAAATTGTTAGTGTAGTAGGTAGTACCACCATGAGGGAAGACATAAGCTACAGTTTCTTCTTTGTAGATAAATTATGGTTTTTTATTTAGTCCATTGAACAAATTTCTGGATAGACATTATTCAGTTCACTTAAAAAGCTAAGGGCTCATTGGTTTATTGTTTTAATTTTTTTTTTAAAAGGAAATAACTTTATGTGTTCTAATTAATTCTTGAAGGTAATAAATTTGGTCATTGACTCATTGTAGTTGGAATTTATTATGGATTTCTTACTGGCTACCCCATTCTCTATCCTTTGATTTCAACTTCCCTGCGAACCTCTGAAGAGACCAATATATCCATTTTCAGTCACTTTACTATGTACACACCAAGATACAATGACATAACTAAAGTGATCCAGTGCAAAGCTAGTGGTCCACTGGGGCCATTAAGCCAGTTAGGAGGAAGGTGTGGGGGCGAAGGACTTGGAGGGCTTACTCCATATCTTGATAAGTAAAATCTTTTTAGAGAACAATAAAGAGTGAATGACATATTATCTGATCACCTATTATGTTATTCTCTCAATTTTTGAAAGATATATCAAGCATGAAGTATACATGAAGATAGTGTAGCACTCCAATCCCCCATCCCAACAGACCCTTAATGGTTGGTATTTACCTCGAAGCCACGCGAACATTATACTCCTTTCCAGGGTGATAAAATTCAGCAAGACCCCAGTCAATCAGCCAAAGCTTTCGCAACACATGGTCTATCATAACATTTTGAGGCTTCACATCTCTGTGCATAATTCCCTGTGAATGACAATAGTCTAATGCCTGCAGTTTCATTAAGAATTAAAAAACGTTCAAAATTCTTCTACAAGTGTCAACTGTCAATTTAAAAATCTTCTTCACAACTATGAAATCACTCATTCTTTACTAAGAGACAACCAATGGATTTTTACCATTTACCTTGAGAAGCTCATACATGTAGTAGCTTATGTCGTAGTGGGTTAATGTGGGGTTTAACACTGAGAAATCCGTACTGTTCACATATTCAAATATCAAGCTTGGAACATTGGAATGCTGATCTCTGACTGTGTTGAGAAGTTTGACGATATTTGGCCCACCATAAAGGTTTTGCAATATCTTGATCTCTCTCTTTATCTATGTGGGATAATTATAGTAAACCAATGTTAAGCCACACTTCACATGCCATTTCAGAGTTCAATACATATAATTAAAATTTAAAATATAAAACAAGAGAAGCACAAATGATGAAACTGAAATGTGAAAGAAAAATGCAAAAACAGCATGTGGATATAAAATGTAGCATTCTTAATAGGAATATTATGTTATTCTATTCTGCATTTATCCTTTTTGTAAACACTCTAGATGAAGAATTGACTTTAAACACTTATTACAGTCTATTGGCGTAGAGTGAAATTAAGCAAACCTGGTGAACTTAACTGAACCTAAGTTTAGTAAAAATCAGATTAACGTAAGGAATCCACGTGCATATATAACAGATGTTTTTTGGATAATTATTACTCCATACTTATTAGGTTAACGCAAGTGAAAAGTTAAAATTTCTTATAAAGAGAATTTTACCTCCAGAAACATCTAATTCAGAGTCTCTAAAAACATAGGTTCTTATCATTAAATAGTAAACAATGAGGTGAGCTTAAAAAATAACTTGCTCCACATAAGAACCTAGGTTCACCTAGAATCAAACGGACCAATAGTGAGTAGCCATCCAAATTATCCAATACGACTCAGTGTCATCCCCAACAAGAGATAAGAGTTAGTAGTCCAACCTTTTTCATCTTAACGGGCTTCAGAACCTTAATTATGCACTTTTCGTTGCTATTGACATTAACTCCCTCAAATACATCACTGTATTTTCCTCTTCCAACTTTCTGAATCACTTTGTAGTCCCGCTGATCACTGGAATAAAATACGAAGAGTTCACATTCATGATAATAGCCAAAGTTCATACCCACAGTTAAGAAAAGTGTCAATTTGATCATTTTCAAACTTGCTTTCTTAAGAAAAACACGACATAGCACCGCAAAGGAAAGTAATGAACCGTAATTAGGGTGTAAGAATCGGATAATGCTGTACCTACCCCCACTGCACATGGAATGATTCATAATCCGAGAAATCCCTGTGACGATGCACGTTGACGTCCGCGTAGACTCGAGCTCTGGACATGGTTCTCCGGGAAATCCCTGCCCCTGAGAAGTTGAGGAAGCCGATTGAAGATGAGAGGTGGTTACTTGGGAATGGGGAGGGAAATGGGGGGCGTAGGATGGGTTGTTCCGCCACCGGCGCATTGAAGGCTATGATGGCGCAAAGGAGGTAGATACCGAAGAAAGGATGCGAGCTTCTTCCCCGTGACGCCACTGCCAACCCCACTTTTTACTGTTCATCCCCAATTTGGCAAATTACAGTGTGCTCGGTACTAAGGTGTTTAGCTAACCAGAAGTCCACAACCCCTCCCTAATGAATCAATTCATTTTTTATTGGGAAAATGGAAACTAATAATCCAACCTTTTAGCGGTCTTCTTACAATAATCCAACCTTTTGGTTATTCATGAATAATCCAACCTTTGCACCTCATCTTCATTCACTGGTCTCTGACCGGTTGATGACCTGCTATTTCAAGCTATTTTCTTATCTTTGCAAATCATTATATCATAAATCTCATCTTTCACAAAGATAATATTTTGCAAAGATAAGAAAATAACTTGGAATAGTAGGTCATTAACCAACCAGGGACCGATGAATGAAGATGAGGTGCAAAGGTTGGATTATTCATGAATAATCAAAAGGTGGGATTATTGAAAGAAGACCGCTGAAAGGTTGGATTATTAGTTTTCATTTTCCCTTTTTTATTTGGAAAATCAAATACGAGTAACTAATTTATTATAAGGACACCGCAAAAATACAAGAGAATGAATAGTCTAGTCTGATGCTACAATGAGATGAGACATATCCCATATTTATCTTCATAGTTCGGTTTACGATGCTTGACTGACGATAAAGCAACTCGATCCCTGTTCACACTCGGAATATTTTTAGTAAATAAAATTTACATATTCAGAAACTACATTAAAACCGCTACAAAGCCTGATCAAGAAAATTTAAGTTTGATAAAAATTTGATATATAAAGTAAAAGATTAAGAGTAATTTGAGTTGACCATGTGAATAGTAACTATGAAGATAATTTTGGGACGGAGGGAGTAGAACGAAACAGATTTAATGAATCCTTCTAGATCGCTAACCTCGAAATAATGTAGTCTAGTCAAACAGTCTTGCTGATCTTCTTGCTACTCCAAAGAGAAATTAAAAAATTACAACTAAAAGATCCGGCTTCACCAGACACCGGAAAGGGAGAATTGGTTTGATCAGCAACCAACAAAGGGAAATCAATCGAGTAGAAATTTCTTGAAGCATCGGTTTGACCAGCCACCGAAAAGAAGATCCGCTTGATCATCTTCTTCTTCCCAGAGTGAGACGGTGGTTCAGGTGGTGGGCGAGTATTTGAAATATCAGAACAACAAGGTTGAAAAGGCTTCACCAGATCGTTTACACTGATTAGAAAGGCACCGCCTCTAGACATTGCTAGGAGAATAACATACTACACGCTCACATGAAGCGGACAAAATTCTCGGCCAATGAAGAAACCGGACCAAATTCCTTGAAAATAGAAATTGAAAAGGAGTGAAAGCATAGAAAAACATTTGATTTGATCTTTCATTGTATAGAGAATGTCTTCATCTTCCAAAATCGGATCTTGAAGGGGGTTGGGGATGGCCGCCTAGGGTTTCCCCAGGGCCAGCTCTCTATTTCACGACTCAATCAATTCATATGTGTTCGGTTAATTAATTTTTTTTCTCCAATCCAACATCCTCAATATATTTATTTAGTAAAAATTTTTAAATTCAATACATACATTTATTATTATAAATTATTTTTTACAAAATTCATTTTTTCGGATTATGATTTAAAATGTCAAACATTCCCATTTAAAAATAAATAAATTTGAATTTAAATTTTGTTGGTGTTAATTCAAACTTATTTTTTTATATTAATTACTAAAAATGTAAAAAATAATAAATATGGAACCTTAATCTTTAATAACTGGATCTACTTAAAAAAATGATCTAAAAATTTCGATGATATGATATTTCATACGTACTATTTTTTTTATATATAAGTGATATTTGTGTCATATGAAAGATCATAACAAATATGAATTTTGCTCATATATTACTCTGTATATAAGTTGAGTAATATTTTTTTAAAGAAATTAGATTACAAATTAAAAAGTTATACCACTTTAGAAATAATTGAGATTTTTATTTTTTGTTGGGCCCCATGTTACTTGCGCTGCCGACTTTGTTATTACGCAGCGACGCAAGAAGCAAGACAAGCCGGCAAAAGGATTCAGCTATTATTCCATTAATCCAGCGTACGAGAAAGCAACGGTGCTCCTTGTTGCAGATCGTTAACCAGCTGGTGCCCATGATTAGCAACGGTGCTCCTTGTTGCTGAACGTGAGAAGGAAGCAGATCGTTAACTAGCTAGTGCCCATGATAATCTTTAATTCTCCACCAATGGCTTGTCTTCTTTACTGGCATAAGTGATCTTTGCTTTTATTTACCTTACATGAATGATCAGACAATTTATATGTATGTATATATATGTGTCTATCTAATAATTGAAGTTCCACCTTTTTATAAGCGAGTTACATCTTTTGAAGCGTGAGTTACATATTTTGAAGCGCGAGTTACATCTTCTGAAGAGTGAGTTACATGTGAATTTTCCTCTGCAAGTTACATCTTGTTTACACATGATTTACACTTTCCATAATGTAAGTTACACTACGATGAGTTACATTTGAATACACTGTATTTACATTTAACAAAAAGCGTGAGTTACATATCAAAACAAAGGATTTACATCACGAAAAAAATTGAGACAAATGCAAGGGTACTGTTCATGCGAATTTTATCTCTGGGAGTACGGTGCTCACCATGCACCGGTTGCACGGTATACGGACTCACTGAAAAGAGGCTGCTGATTCTCACCTTGACACCTTAGTATACTTTTTTTCTAGGGTTACGGCCATTATGCATGAAAACATCAAATTTGGTGTTTTGAGTCTTTTGACTGCTCTCGTTGTGGGCAGCCTTAGGTAGACTTCTATTCCAATTGAGTGATTTCATATTTTACTCCATATTTCACAAATTAAAATACTATCGTACTTTTTATTGTATTTTCTCAAAATTAGGGCTTTTTTCTCCTCGTCATCATGTTATAGATAGAGTTAATTACCCTAGGTGTGACTAAAACTCCATTACTTTCTCAATCTATGACCTAATGAGTTTTTTTCTCAAAATAAAACTAAAATTCGTCATATTTAATTAAAATATTAATAAGTAATTAAATAAATAAATTCTGTGGACTAATATGCCCTTTTGTTATTATTATAAAACCCTAGTACCTTATTCCTTATTTCCATCCCTAATCGTAGCCTACCCGTCGCCCACCTACGTCCAAATTGCGTACCAATGTCCAGCCTCGCCGCCGCTTGCAATCCAACCGCCTGCCATCGCCGCCCAGCTGTCCGCTGTTGGAAATACTTTTGCATATAGCGGAAGCAATACATGAACAAATCAAACGGATTGTTCAATAATTCCAGGACCTTCATCATGTTCAATATTTGCACTTTGGGTCTTCCGATTCTTCGTTATACGTATTATAACGTTAAGGAAGTTCTTTTGGATCGGGACAAAATATGTGAAATTTTAAGACCTCCCATTTAATAAAATTGTCTGATAATTTTTTGTTGGATGAACTCAAACCACATGTTGCCAAAGTAACCTCTGTTGGATTGACAAATTCAATTAAATTTTTATCATAGATGTTTGTATGTGATGATTCATGTGAATTATGATCGGCCCAAAGGAAGACATAATTTGACCGGATTATTTACATACCTGCAATAATAAATATGTGGTGATTATAAGGGAGAAATTAATTTTAATTTTCATTCCATGTAAATAGTGGAATGCCCAAAGGCAACCATTATTTGACAGGATTTATCACCAATATTTGATTAATGCATTGAGAGTACCAATTGCAGTTATCCTACCAATCCAAAGATTGAGGTTTAATGTTGCGCTAGGTATCTTGTTTGAGTCTTATAATTTCACAAAATTTGATGTGCATAATAATATGGTACTTGATGCACATTTACACACGCATGAAATTAATTTTAGTTTTGTACCTAAAGACACATGGTGGGTAGATTCTGGTGCTACTACCCACATAAGTATGTCTATGCGGGGTGGCATATGGAGCCGTCCACCAAATGATGCTGGAAAAGTACATTTATGTTGGTGATGGCAATAAAGTTTAAGTTCAAGCAATAAGAACTTTTAGACTACTTTTAAAGACTTGTTTTCATTTGAATTTAATCGAGACTTTTGTTACACTGTTTATTAAACGGTATTTAATTTCCAATTTATGTTTTGGACAAATATAGTTACTCTTGTTCATTTGGAAATTATAAAGTTAGTCTCTCTTATAATTCAAATATTTTAGGTTATGAATCTTTACTCAATAATCCTTATATGCTTGAGAATTTGGTCATTTTATGGCATAAGCTAAAGAAAGAGTTTCAGAACCATTAAGGGATAACCACCTAAAGTCTTTCGTGAGTGTGGTTGCCAAAGTTGTTTAGTTGAGTGGGAGTTAATCTCTTATGATTTAATTTAATGATACAAAACTCAAGGTTTCTGCAGAAATAAAGTTTATTAGCTTTACAGCCAAATTTTTGTATCAAGCTATGTGTAATTTTTTAATTTACACTTACGAGCCTTAAGGTTGGTCTCAATAAAGACTAAAGTTGGACCAGTTGAAAATAGGCATGATGGAGACCACTTCACATGTAATTTTCATGCTGCTCACCCATACAGATCTATGTCATCAATTGTATTTCAATGGTGGTTGTTGTGGTTTAGTCATGAATTAACAATATGACAAAAGCTGCAGTGATCCCATTATTAATACATGAGGTGGACCAGATTGACTAAGTTCAAGTCTAAAGATAGATAGCATACTAAGGCGCGCCTAAAGAAATATAATTACAATATGTAGCCCAAGTGGGAGATTGTTGGAATATTTTATTCCAATAATTAATATGGGCTAATATTATAATTATTGTATTAGCTATTTATCATAATTGGGTTTTGTTTATGTGGTCAATATATTATCTAAACCCAAAAGACTATTAAGATAAATTGTATGAGCCAAATAAATGGGCAGAGGCCCGTGTTGCTTGTTAGGGTATAATGGGAGCCCTAACTAGACCAACACAATCTATAAATATAGGCTATGGTCCCCAATACATTGAACCAACAATTCACTTCTCTTCTCCCCATCGGAAGAGAGACTAAGGCCTCGGGTTCAATTGAGGAAGATCCATACGCCATCTACCTCGTTCCATTCCTCCTGCGACTTCGCTATGGATCCAGGTAGTAATCTTATTATACTCTATTATTCAACATGATGAAGGTCCTGGAATTATTGAACAATCCATTTGATTTGTTCTTGTATTGCTTCCGCTATATGCAAAAGTATTTCCAACATCCGCCACCACCTTTCACACTGGAGATCTAGAATCGTCTGGCCAGAGTAACTTCAGCAGTGCGAAACAGAGGTTCCCGAATAGATGATTGGTAGTGAAATCCGAATGAAGGGATCCAGGACTTATGACGGAGAGATGGACGCCGCTTCTTTGTTACGTTGTTAGGGTCGATGCCTGACACACGGACAAAGTAATTTTGCTAACATGGACTGGAGTTCCACGGTCTTCATTAATTTTTGGCTTGGAGCTTGTGGGTAATTTTGTGGGAGGACTTGTACTGATAGTAATTTTTTTCAATTCAAAATTATTAATTTGCGAACACAGTATTTTTTTGTTTAAAACTTAAAACACGTAATACCTGGATTTTCCTTCTTCCTCTTTTTGAATTTATTGAATTTAGGGTTTTCTGATATGGACAATGCACATGTGCCATCCAGCAACATGAAGGCACTCCAACTGACCTTCGTTAATGCCCATTCACCCCCCTCATTCTTTTTATTTTTCTTTTATTTTTTAAGATTTGGTTTTATATTGAATTTAGGGTTTGTGCGCATTAAATATGAGCATTGAACACCATCACTGAACATTTCAATAAGTGTGGAGTATTGACAGTAAATATACATGGTAATAGACATGTTGTACATGGCAGTGAACGAATGCATTAACAAATTTTGTTGTACAGTGATTATGACCAGTATTGCAGTAACACAAAGCAGTGATATCATCATCAAATGCAATATACTTAATTAAACGTAAAATAATAAAATTATTAAATTTTTAAAAAAAATCCTCAATTGAATAAGAAGACAATTAAATTTAGGGGAAGTGCAATGATTATTACTGGATGTGCAGTAAAGTCTTGCATTAATTTTGTGCATTAACGGCAATATAAAGTGTAGTAATTTTAATTGGACGAAATTAGTGCAAAATGCGCATATTTTAAATAAGGGTATTTTTATCATTCAACATTTAAATATAAACGAATTTTCTATTTGTTTTTGGATTTTTGGTCATACAAAGGTATAAAAACTAATTAGGTCATAGATTGAGAAACTCATTGAGTTTTAGTCATACCATAGTAAATTTCCCTTATAGATATCATGTTAGCACTTGAATTAAATCAACATTACATATAGTTTTGTACTTTGTTGTTTTCATATATACTTATTCACTTCTTTTGCAACTATTGTGCCAACAAGTTTTATTACTTATTTAACAATAATAACAACACAACAAATGTTCAAAACACACAAATTACAATAAAAACTATGCTTTTAGCACATCACACTGCCAATCAATATATTCATCATCCAGCAGAAAAGTATAAAGATGACAAATAGGGAAAAAATAGACTTCCCTAATATTAAGAAACTGAGCTTAAATATGTCTTACCTCACATCGATTCAATCCCAACATGTAATGGTTGATCATGTTGCCTTCATCAATGGTTGGCGCAAGAATTGCCCTGGAATTCAAATAAGAAACATCATTACATCATTACAGTGCATTTCAAAATAGGGATATGTGATCTCAACAATAGCTTCAATTGGATCATCTGTCATAGGAGCAATAAATTTTTCAGGGATGTCAACCATTGATTCTCCATCATCACTGTCCCCCAGGACCCCATCTCCAATCTTCAAAATCCACTCGACAAAGTTCTGAATTTCTAATTCATAGGGATATGTGACTTCTAAATTGAACTTTAAACTGATTTTTTTACATAATCTACACTTCATAGACAACATGATCATAATTTTCACCAACAAAATTATTCCGAAGAACTTCAACAAATTCCACTCGAAAAATTGTTAGTTTAGGCTGAAAATCAGCCTACTCACACCTATTACAAAGGACTAAACTTGGGCCTATTTTTTACCCAATTTTTTTGGGCCTAGGGCGCCTGCCCCGCTTGCACCCCCTAGGGCCGCCCCTGATGTCTTCACATATTAAGAAAATAAATTTGACTTTATTGTGGAGTGCGCTGTTTAACATTGTTTGGACACTGTTTGATACTGTATGACACTGTTGTGATGTAGATAATCTGTCAAATAAAGAAATGTTTGAAAGTGAAACTTAATTTTGGTATACTTTATAAAGAAAATGTGAAACTTATTTTAAAACCGGAGGGACTACAAGAAAAACAACCACGCTTGAGGTACACACTTTTCATACACACTTATACACACTCGTGTCTGTGAAGAGTTATTTTTTGTCTATATACAAACATTACGTATTTGAGAATACATTATGTCTGTATACAGACAAAAAATAACTCCTCAGGTGTGTATGAAAAGTGTGTAATAATAGCATTTTTGCAAAAAAAAATGCGAATTCGGTCCTAATCTTCCACCTCATAAAGCCACACCCACTTATACCTCGACTGTGATAGGCAGCACACACAGATCGAAAACTGTGTTTATCTTCCCAAAAAATTGTGAATTGACGGCAAGGTACGTATAACCTCCTCTGCTGTTTTGGATAACCATGTGCTCTCCGCCAATCAGGGGCCACGGCCCTGTCCCTTGCCACGTAAAGCTGAGACGAATCTGCCTCAGCATGTTTTCTCTTCCTCAACGACAATTGTTCTCGTTGAAGAGCTTTCCCGAAATAGTAATACTACTTCTACATAGTTTGTTTTTGTCTTACGGAGTACTTACTTCCTCCGGAATTCAATTGTAAACTTTGACCCGCATGACAATTAAGCATGACAATTAAGGAATGATAATAAATGATGCTTGTTTTTTATATTTTTGTCCTTCATCTTAAAAGTAGATGACTTTAAGTTGATGGAAAAATGTAAAAGTAATGATAAATTTGTCACTTTACTTTTACCTATATACCTAAAATAGAAAGTGAAAAATCATTTTGGGCCAACTAAAATAGGAAATTTTGCAAAACAAATTGGGACGAAAGAAGTATATTTTTTTCTACCCTATTAAATATGCATTACTAATGCGTCTTTAGAGAAATTATAAGAATAATAATTAGAGAAATGCAGTGCCGGACTGCCGTTGCAAGGGAGGATGCGCTTATGGATTCGGTTGATTCATAAAATTATTTTATTTCATTCCATTTTACTTTTTTTGAGTGTTTTAATTATGAACTCCGTTGTTATTGTTATTTCAAATTAAACACAAGGGGTACTTTGTATTTTAAATATGAATTGAAGTAATAAAACAATGATACTCCTATTCAAGTAAATATTTTGTGTCTTACTCTTAGTAATAAGGAAAACCTCTAAGTACTACTCACTTTGTTCTTCATTATACGTAGTACTACGTATTAGTTAGCACATTAAGAACTCGTTTGGTGATCCCTCTTCTCGCTTAGCACCGGCCTCTAGTTGACTTTTTCACTAAATATAAAACTTTCAATTTCGCGCGTTGAATTATTTAACAATCAAAATAAGTAATGTTAAAGAAAACAAAACATAGAGTCATATTATGTAAAGATATATAGTTGTGTTTTAGTCATAATTAGAGCTCTCAAATTCAACAATGTACAACGGTGCACATGTTACGTTGTTTAAGAAAGATAAACACATAAAACAAATTAATGACATTTGTCTGTCTATCTTTCCGCAATTTTGTATAACTTTGGTAACTTTTTTTCCAGCAATGTCCACTCCAATGTCTACATCTAAACATTTTTTTTTAATATTGTTGAGAAAAATTTATTAAAAATATATAAGATCGTTCAATTAAGAAGAGAAGTATTTTAGGTGGTACTCCATAATTTTTATATGTCTATGTCCTTAATTCCACATGTTCACTGTTCAAAACTTCAAATTATGGCATTGGAAATATTGTTAGTTTTAGAGCAATTTTCTAAAAAAGTGTGTAGTAATAAGTTGAGTAAAAACTTCCAAATATGGAAATGAGTCAAATAATAGAAACTTCATAAAAGTAAATATGTGGCTAGTTTTTTTAGAATGAATGAAGTATTAAAGTCACAATTTTTTCTTGAAAGGAAGCCTTTTCTTAACAATACTTTTTACGGAGTATCTGATACCCCAAATATAATTTTGTCAATCATATGCGTTTTTTAAAATAAAAGAGCTTAATATAATTTAAAAAACTCGATTACCCTAAACAAATAAATAGAAACACCTAAAATAGTTGAGAGTTAGGCTCCATGCCTCGATTGTATTACGTTCTTAAATTACGAACATTTGTGTATTTTTATTGATTTTCTAAGCTAAATTCATTTCTCTATTCTACTGTATTGAGTTCTTAGCTGTTAGCAATTAGCATGAATAAAAGCACTTGATCCAAATGAATAAAAACACTCATTTTATTCATTTTCATCCGTGAATTAAAACTCATTTCAAGAGACTTTTGGGATAATCGGCATACTTTCATTTTCCCCCACTTGTTTCCGCTATATATGTTTAGCAGGAAATTAAAAGGGAATCCTGCGCCAATAGTTTTAGCAAAACTCCCCGGACACCAAAAAAACAAACCACCAAAGAAAAGCACAGAAAATAATACAAATAATTAATTGAACAATTAAAACACTAATTGAACAAGTTTAGAAGTTTGGGTTCTCCTCCATATTGATCCGCGGCGCCGCCGAACCGGCTGTTCAGGCAAGTAGTCGTCACCGACTCCTCGGAGTTCATCGACGGCGTCCCCGGTCGCCGCCGTCTCTCCGCCGTCGGGCTTGTACTGTCACAGCCCCTTTGAAAACCGGGATGTAGTCTGAGATTAAGATCGGCCAGCTGGATAACACTCGATGGGGCATCCGGAAAACGGCGGCGTTTCTCAGCATTTTTGGGACGTGGGTTTTGACTGGAATCATGAAACTTGGACTTGTCGGTGCACCCCGAGGCTTCACCAACCTCGCCCACGCCACCAACAAATTCCGGAAGTGGCTGCAACGCGCCGCCGCGGAGGACGGTTTCCACCGCCTTTTGGCACACGTGCCAATTCCCACTCCATAATAACCCCACCGCTCCGTTCACCGGGTTGATCGTCCGCCCAACAGCTTCGTATAACAAAGATTGGAATAGAGCTGTAAAAATAAAAACTTTTACGTTAGTGACTAATATTAATTGGCCACAATTTGTCCAGAATAAGTGTTTTAGAATCTTTTTAGAAAAACATTGCTTGGAAACATATTAATATATCCTTTTTCTATAAGATTTTCATTTTATTATTTATTCCCCTAATGTGTTAATTTATTCCCCTAACAAATTTCATGTCAATTTTTTTAGTTCAAATTAGATTATTGGTGTTATAAGAAATTTTTATTAAACTTTAATTTTCACTTGTGTAAATATGTTAAACTTCAATGAACTTAAGTTAGTACTCCGTATATAAAATTAATTATACGGAGTATGAATCTAGATAGGCTCAGAACAATACACGGAGTATGAAATTGGGATTGGAGTAAGTTCAAAATTTCAAATGACTGCAATAAAAATTTGTTTGAAAGAAAGTTTTTTTTTGAATGATTGCTGTTTGAATGAAAGTTCAGATATGTGAATACATTTAACCAATGATTTTAATAATTTTGTTATGAGAAGTTTTCGGAGATTTATTTAGCAAAACCTAAATTTTCTCAAATTGTATTATTAAATTTAAATTAAAAAGATGCAACCCAAATTAAATCTAACAAAAACTAGATTCACCAAAAATAATGAAAAGAACATGTGTACAACGTATGTTGAGTTAACAATTTAATAAGAAATTAAGTTTATTTCAATCAAACCTCCGTAAACCAAAATACGGAGTAGTTAAGAAAATTGGTAGAATAAAACAATATGCATCATCTTTGTGAAAAGTAGTGTTGGCTAAAAGTTTACCTCAAAATAGATGTGTAAAAGATTTTTAGAGTGAAAAATAAGTGCATAGGGCTACTAGATGTGCCGAACTTTATAGCATCATCTTAAATTAAGAAAACTTTTTTGTAGTTAAAAATAAACAGTTATTTGGAAGATGAATGTCTACTGGAATAAAAATTTAAAATCTTCATTATAAAAGAGTTGGCTAAAAGTTTGCCTCAAAAAATATTGACCCGACATGACCGTCAGAAAGCGCCGTTAAGGATCTATCTGACCGTTAACTATGCAATCCTAATGTGTGGGATTAGTGGATTACTAACTAAAGATAACGTTAGAAGAAAAAACTTCAGATACTCACGTACAAATCCACAACAGAACAGGGGTAAAAGGGTAACTTACAAGGTCTCTGATTTTCCGGCACGGCGGAGATGAAAGAAATGAGGCCGGCACGGCCGAAGAACTTGGCGACAAACAAGGTGGCGTGGCCTTGAGCTTCGGCGCTTTCCATCCATTGTAAACAGCTTCTAAGAATACAGCTGTCGCTGCACCCTTTCCGGAGGACCCGGCAGCCATTGCAGCTCATTTTTCTGTGCTTCGGCTAAGGGCGCGTTTGTTTGTCCCTTTATTCACATCTAGCTAGCTAGCTATTCACTTTTCCGTCGAGAAGATTGTGAAGACACGAAAACGCAGAACGAATATAATTTGGGGTGGATAAATAAAATATTAGAAGCTTAATTAGAAGCACAGGAAGATCAGAGAGAATTTTAGCTTTGAAAAAAGAGGGGCGTGTATATAAAGAGGAAAGCTCAGCTCCGAAAGGAAGTGTGAGTTTCAAGCCTTTATTTTATATTCTAATTAATACGTAGTGAGATAGTACGTATATGAGTGGATACGAAGTATATACATCGTAGCCCTAAACCGGAGTACTTAACTCGTTTTTGCAATAAGGGGCCGTTTGCTGGTTCGGAAAAGAGAACAGATTAATATAGGTAAGAAGAGGGGAGAAGCAGAAACATTGTGCCGTTAATATGGAGGGAGTAGATTGTTTCTGAATATGTAATTGTGCCGTTAATAATTGTGAGAAGAGGGTAGTTTCTGAATAATATGTAATTTTTTTTAAAAAAAAATTTGAGTGTATACACAGATTCGTTTGTTTTATCGTCGATTAAACATCGTAAACCGAAAAGTATCTTATAATTCAGGACGGAGGGAGTGTATTGTTTTTCTTTTGACTCATTTCAATTACAAAACAACATAATAATATCAAACTTAAACAAATTAGGTTAGACTTTAATCGATTAGATTTCTATAGTTATAAAATACATATATACTAGACATCCAACAAAAAAGACTAGAAAAATTTCAGTTCATGTAAAACATTCTCAATCTCAAAATCTTTAGACCAGACTTGAGCAGATTAGATCAAACTTAAATATACTACATATCAATAAAAACCAGAAAAAAATTAGAAAAAATAATAAAATTATATTTCAAGTGAACAAATTAAATTGTTTCAATCCTAAACCTCTATTTCGAATTCGAAAGGTTTTTTTACATTTGTTATACGTATTATAGAAAGCAATATTAAGTGTTTTCTAAATGATTAATTTTCGAAATATATACAAAATATGTTCTTTCTAAAGAATGAAAAATAGTTTTACTTGAAAAAAAGCAGCGTTCATATTCATAATCTATAAAAGGGAAAGTTCCCGAAATTGGACTAAAAAAGTTCGAAAATTCCAAAATAGGACTGTCATGTTTTTATTCCCAAAATAGAACTAATTACTGCCAAATTTGAAAAATACTGCCATGTTTGAAGTCTAGTACTGCCAAAACATGGCAGTAATTAGTCCTATTTTGGGAATAAAAACATGAAAGTCCTATTTTGGAATTTTCAAACTTTTTAGTCCCATTTTGGGTAATATCTCTTTATAAAACACTTTTAATGCTTATTTAAAAAAAACTATCAATATACTGTCATATTTTATCACAAAATTAAGGCACTTTAAGTCTGTGTTTAGTATATCTTATGCTCTCTAATTATGCAGATTTGCAACAGCATCCAGAGAGAATTGAACTTCTAACACTAAGCCTTAGTCACATCTTGCGCAAGTAACCAAAAATTGAGCAGGCATATAGAGCAGTGTTCATATTGCACATAATGCTTTCAGGCTTAAGAAGGGGACTAATAGTTGAGCGAAATTTTCTCTCTCCCCCATATGTAGTGCTTTTAAGTATAAGAAGATTAAAAAAAATAAGCAGACTAATAATTGAACTTGAAAATTCTCTCTCTTATATGTACTATTTTAGATATAAAATAAGCGGACTAATAATTGAGCGGGATAATTTTCTTCTCATATGTAATGCTTTTAAAGTTTTAAGTATAAGAAAGTAAGCGAACTTATCGTACCCTGTAGTTTTTACACTGATGGAAAATAATTGTAAAAAAATCTATTTTTATAATTAATCATATCGTCAATAAAAATATATATGGACCAACAGTGTAGGAAGATAAATAGATAAGCGGGCTAATAACTGAGCGAGGACATTTTCTCTTACATATGTAGTGCTTTTTAAGTATGAGGAACAAACTAATAACTGAGCGGACAAATTTCGTCTCTCATATGTAGTATTTTGAGGTATAAGAAGAGCGGACTAATAATTTAGCAAAAGAATTTTATCTCTCACATTTAGTACTTTTAGGAATAAGGTAAACACACTAATAATTGAGCGGGTGAATTTTCACTCTCATATGTAGTGCTTTTAGGTATAAGATAAGCGGACTAATAACTGAGCGGAGACATTTTCTGTTACATATGCAGTGCTTTCAAGTATAGATAAAGAGACTAATAATTGATCGAGCGGATGAATTTCATATCATATGTAGTGTTTTTTAGATAAAAGAATATGAGCGGATTAATAATTGAGCGAAAGAATTTTAATTTATCTCTCATATGAAGTGCTTTTAGGTATAAGAAGATAGGCGGACTCTAATAATTGAGCAGGAGAATTTTCTTTGTCATATGTAGTGTTTTAAGGTATAAGAAGATAAGCGGGCTAATAACTGAGCGTGGACATTTTCTCTTACATATGCAGTGCTTTTAGGTATAAGATAAACAGACTAATAATTGAGGGGACGAATTTCATCTTATATGTAGTGTTTTTAGGTATAAGAAGATGCGTGGACTAATAATTGAGTGAAAGAAATTTATCTCTCAGATGTAGTTCTGTCATGTATAAGACGATTCAGATATATAATTGAGTAGATAATTTTCTCTCTCATATGTAGTGCTTTTAAGTATAAGATAAGATATTATAAAAGACTAATAATTGAACGGGCTAATTCCGTCTCTCATATGTAGTGTTTTTAGATATAAGAAGATGTGTGGACTATAATTAGCGAAAGAATTTTATCCCTTTGATGTAGTGATTTTAGGTATAAGATAAACGGACTAATAATTGAGCGAAAGAATTTTAATTTCTCTCTAATATGTACTGGTTTCAGGTATAAGAAGGTAAACGCTCATATAATTGAGCAGGAAGATTTCCTCTATTATACTGTATGTAATAGTTTTAAGAATAAGATGAGGGACTAATAATTGAGTGTTTTTTCTCTTCATACGTAGTGATTTTAGATATAATAATAAGATGAGTGGACTTATAGTTGAGCGGGAGAACTTTTTGTCTCACATTTAGTGCTTTTTGATATATGCTCAATGGACTAATAATTGAGCGGGAATTTCATCTCTCATAAAGTGTTTTTAGTTATAAGATAAGCAGACTAATAATTGAGCGGAAAAATTTTCTCTCGCACATAGTGTTTTTAGATATAAGGAAAACAGACTAATGATCGAACATGCGAATGTTCGTAAAAAGCGATGAAGAAGATTTTATTTTGATTTTCTTTTACTTTGAATATTTGTTGTATGGATTTATACTTTTTGAAATTCACTTATCGTACCCTGTTTTTACAATGATGTAAAATTGTAAGAAAATATATTTTTTATACTCCCTCCGTCACGCTATGATTGTCCCGTTTTACCATTTCGGTCCGTCCCACTAAGATTTTCTCATACCAAATTTGGCAAAATTTGTGTGGCTCCAAATCATTCTTACTTTATTCTTACTTTATCAATTCAATATCAACCACATAACTCACTTTTTATTAGTTTGTGTGACACTCCCTCTCGTCCCATTGTTAGTGGGATGGAGGGAGTATTTAATAATATCGTGAATAAAAATATATATGGACCAACTGTTTTTCCCGTGCGTATGCATGGGTACTGTGCTAGTACTATTTAAATTTATGAAATTTCTGCTAAAGTAGTTGTAGGGTAGAGCACGAGTCGGGTACGGGCGGGTCGGGTTCAAAAATTGTAAACCCGTTCGGTTATTGGATTGATAATTTTAAACACTATCCTATCAAAAAATTTATCGGGTTTTTCGGGTTGAAGAAGTTCGGGTTTCGGTCGGGTTGATTCGGTTTTCGGGTCAATTCGGTTTTTAATTTATTATTGTTGAAATTGTAATAAATAAAATGGTAATTGGTAAAAATATCATTCAAAGTTATACTAGTACAACATTCAAAGTAATAACTATATAAATACGGTAATTGACATATTTGAACATGTAAAATAATAATATACGGTGATTGACATGTTTGATATTGCAATAAATAAAATAATAATTGGTATATACAAATGATAATTGGTGTATACAAGCTTAACAGTTAACACTGAACACTACAATTAGGTATATAAGGAGTATATATGCCATGGGTATTTCGAGTGGTCGGGCGGGTCGGATAGCATAATTGGAAACCCTACCCGCTACCCGCTTAAGTCTCGGGTTGCAAGAATCGAATCGGGTTTGGGTATTTCGGGTTGGGTTTTCCGACCCAAACAAAAAATTCGGATATATTCGGTCGGGTTTGCTCTCCCCTAACTAGTTGGCATGACTGATTCTGTCGAATTCTGAAAAAATTATATTTAATTTTTTATTAATAAGATAAAGAAACAATCATATGAAGACATAATTAAACCGGTCATCTACAGTAACTTCATCTACTACAGCCTGAAAAGTAACTCAAATCTCACTTTTTCTTGTTATGGACTACAATACATTACACAATTCAGCGCGCGAAAATCAAAAGTTGCGTGCTTGGCGAAAAAATGATTGATAAGCCGAAAAAAGATTCTCCTGAAATTTTACTTATTGACACTAACATTCCGTTTGGTGACTCTTTTTTCGACTTATCAGGCTTATCAGTAAACTTTTTCACCAAACTGTTAGTGTCAATAAATAAAATTTTGTGAGGATCTTTTTTAGGCTTATCAGTCTAATCAATCAACTTTTTCACTAAACACGTAACTTTTGATTTCGCACGATGAATTGTGTAATGTAGTCCATAACAAGAAAAAGTAAGGTTTGAGTTACTTTTCTGCCTGTAGTGGTTGAAGTTACTGTAAATGACCATTTTCATTGTGTCTTCATATAATTGTTTATTTATCTTATTAATAAAAAAATTAAATATTTTTTTTCCACAAATTCGACAGAATCACTCATGCCAACTACTTCATACGGAACTTCATAAATTTAAGCAGAATCAGTTGATTCAGTCAATTTCAATGTTATCAAACAAGCTCTAAAAAATTATGAGATCTTAATATTAGGACATATATATACTTAAAGAAGTTTGTAGCCTAAACCTCCGCTCATCGTATCTTAGAATTATTTTTATTTTTATTTTTATATATTCAATATTGGTATCAAATGAAAGATAATAAAAAATTATGAATTTTGGTATAATTTTTA